CTGTCTAGCTGCATGGCTGGTAGTTGCATTGACTGTAGACACCTCTGCCGCTGCAGGAGCACTAGGTCTGTCTCACAACGACATCTGCTGTTGAAGAAACCAAGACCTGATGTCTCGGACAACTTTATAAGCCGCATAACGAAACCTGTATGATTCACATGAAACTAGTAAGTCATCAGTTGGATAATAAACCACCAAAGGGAGATAACCGGTGCTGGTAGTGATGAATTGGTCTCGATGTCAATCATAAGATCAATTATGCTTCTCCTGGGGGCGGGGATATATGAGAACTACGATGTGCGATATTATATCATGTAAATAATATGAAACTAGTTTAATAAACATTTCTAACACATGTTTACTTAACTTAACTCAATATTTATATATGTCCTATCTGTTTGAGTTTTCCCCGAATCGACTGCTGATGCAACGTCGGGGCACTATGATGAAATGGTTCACGCGGTGTGCGCTCCTTCCATTTCCATCTACAGAGAGCCTAAACGGGCATATTCATGGGGGGACTGGCATGGACATATAGAGAAATCAGAATACGTCACCAAAACTGTTCTAAAATTATATGTTGACGTCTGAAACTCAAAAAAAAAATTGAAGTGAATGTGTTTCTCGAAGCTCTGGTTGACTGAGAAGCGTGTAGTTCACCGGTTAATAGTTTTAGCAACCGTAATTTCTGATAGTGATAATTGTATATGAATGTTCTGCAGAAACCGATCCCAGTTAGTTGAAATGGTAATGTGGTGTATCTTTGATGTTTTTTTCTCACATTGCCCAAGTCTTAATGTTGTTTTAGTAACGGATTAGGATTAGGCTGGATTATAGTCTGTACTAGTCTGTTCTAGCTATGGTCACCTGGTGAGGTGTAGTCAGTCGTAGTGGTAGACTAGTAGTATAATATTGTGATGGAAATGATGAACTAGCAATAGGCTATTTAGGCGTGTCACTTCCATCCATGTTCATTGCAAATATGACGAGCGCACAGGTTAATGTTAAATGCATTCCTAACCCACGTGGTGGGAGGCATTTGATCTTTTCTGGCGACAAGTATAGAGTGAAGACTACGCATGGTATCAGACTATATTGGAAGTCATGTAAGGCTGGCTGTCCAGCAAAAGTGACCACAGTTAATGATGTTATCAGCACGTTTCTGACCTTGACAATCCAGAAATGAGAAGATTTGCAGACGATGTCACTTAACAGTGGGTGGGAGGTGGTAACAGGTAGGGTCAAGGATAACAAATCATGTTGAGAGGTGGTAACAGGGTGGGTCAAGGATAACAAATCATGTTGAGAGGTGGTAACAGGGTGGGTCAAGGATAACAAATCATGTTGAGAGGTGGTAACAGGGTTGGTCAAGGATAACAAATCATGTTGAGAGGTGGTAACAGGGTGGGTCAAGGATAACAAATCATGTTGAGGGGTGGTAACAGGGTGGATCAAGGATAACAAATCATGTTGAGAGGTGGTAACAGGGTGGGTCAAGGATAACAAATCATGTTGAGAGGTGGTAACAGGTAGGGTCAAGGATAACAAATCATGTTGAGAGGTGGTAACAGGGTTGGTCAAGGATAACAAATCATGTTGAGGGGTGGTAACAGGGTGGGTCAAGGATAACAAATCATGTTGAGGGGTGGTAACAGGGTGGATCAAGGATAACAAATCATGTTGAGAGGTGGTAACAGGGTTGGTCAAGGATAACAAATCATGTTGAGAGGTGGTAACAGGGTGGGTCAAGGATAACAAATCATGTTGAGAGGTGGTAACAGGGTGGGTCAAGGATAACAAATCATGTTGAGAGGTGGTAACAGGGTGGGTCAAGGATAACAAATCATGTTGAGAGGTGGTAACAGGGTGGGTCAAGGATAACAAATCATGTTGAGAGGTGGTAACAGGGTGGGTCAAGGATAACAAATCATGTTGAGAGGTGGTAACAGGGTTGGTCAAGGATAACAAATCATGTTGAGAGGTGGTAACAGGGTGGGTCAAGGATAACAAATCATGTTGAGGGGTGGTAACAGGGTGGGTCAAGGATAACAAATCATGTTGAGAGGTGGTAACAGGGTGGATCAAGGATAACAAATCATGTTGAGAGGTGGTAACAGGGTGGGTCAAGGATAACAAATCATGTTGAGAGGTGGTAACAGGGTGGATCAAGGATAACAAATCATGTTGAGAGGTGGTAACAGGGTGTGTCAAGGATAACAAATCATGTTGAGAGGTGGTAACAGGGTGGGTCAAGGATAACAAATCATGTTGAGGGGTGGTAACAGGGTGGGTCAAGGATAACAAATCATGTTGAGAGGTGGTAACAGGGTGGGTCAAGGATAACAAATCATGTTGAGAGGTGGTAACAGGGTGGATCAAGGATAACAAATCATGTTGAGAGGTGGTAACAGGATGGGTCAAGGATAACAAATCATGTTGAGAGGTGGTAACAGGGTGGATCAAGGATAACAAATCATGTTGAGGGGTGGTAACAGGGTGGGTCAAGGATAACAAATCATGTTGAGGGGTGGTAATAGGGTGGGTCAAGGATAACAAATCATGTTGAGGGGTGGTAACAGGGTGGGTCAAGGATAACAAATCATGTTGAGAGGTGGTAACAGGGTGGGTCAAGGATAACAAATCATGTTGAGGGGTGGTAACAGGGTGGGTCAAGGATAACAAATCATGTTGAGAGGTGGTAACAGGGTGGATCAAGGATAACAAATCATGTTGAGAGGTGGTAACAGGGTGGGTCAAGGATAACAAATCATGTTGAGAGGTGGTAACAGGGTGGATCAAGGATAACAAATCATGTTGAGAGGTGGTAACAGGATGGGTCAAGGATAACAAATCATGTTGAGAGGTGGTAACAGGGTGGATCAAGGATAACAAATCATGTTGAGGGGTGGTAACAGGGTGGGTCAAGGATAACAAATCATGTTGAGAGGTGGTAACAGGGTGGGTCAAGGATAACAAATCATGTTGAGAGGTGGTAACAGGGTGGATCAAGGATAACAAATCATGTTGAGAGGTGGTAACAGGGTGGGTCAAGGATAACAAATCATGTTGAGAGGTGGTAACAGGGTTGGTCAAGGATAACAAATCATGTTGAGGGGTGGTAACAGGGTGGGTCAAGGATAACAAATCATGTTGAGGGGTGGTAACAGGGTGGATCAAGGATAACAAATCATGTTGAGAGGTGGTAACAGGGTGGGTCAAGGATAACAAATCATGTTGAGAGGTGGTAACAGGGTGGGTCAAGGATAACAAATCATGTTGAGAGGTGGTAACAGGGTGGGTCAAGGATAACAAATCATGTTGAGAGGTGGTAACAGGGTGGGTCAAGGATAACAAATCATGTTGAGAGGTGGTAACAGGGTGGGTCAAGGATAACAAATCATGTTGAGAGGTGGTAACAGGGTGGGTCAAGGATAACAAATCATGTTGAGAGGTGGTAACAGGGTGGATCAAGGATAACAAATCATGTTGAGAGGTGGTAACAGGGTGGGTCAAGGATAACAAATCATGTTGAGAGGTGGTAACAGGGTGGATCAAGGATAACAAATCATGTTGAGAGGTGGTAAAAGGGTGTGTCAAGGATAACAAATCATGTTGAGAGGTGGTAACAGGGTGGGTCAAGGATAACAAATCATGTTGAGGGGTGGTAACAGGGTGGGTCAAGGATAACAAATCATGTTGAGAGGTGGTAACAGGGTGGATCAAGGATAACAAATCATGTTGAGAGGTGGTAACAGGGTGGGTCAAGGATAACAAATCATGTTGAGAGGTGGTAACAGGGTGGATCAAGGATAACAAATCATGTTGAGAGGTGGTAACAGGGTGTGTCAAGGATAACAAATCATGTTGAGAGGTGGTAACAGGGTGGGTCAAGGATAACAAATCATGTTGAGGGGTGGTAACAGGGTGGGTCAAGGATAACAAATCATGTTGAGAGATGGTAACAGGGTGGATCAAGGATAACAAATCATGTTGAGAGGTGGTAACAGGGTGGATCAAGGATAACAAATCATGTTGAGAGGTGGTAACAGGATGGGTCAAGGATAACAAATCATGTTGAGAGGTGGTAACAGGGTGGGTCAAGGATAACAAATCATGTTGAGAGGTGGTAACAGGGTGGGTCAAGGATAACAAATCATGTTGAGAGGTGGTAACAGGGTGGATCAAGGATAACAAATCATGTTGAGAGGTGGTAACAGGATGGGTCAAGGATAACAAATCATGTTGAGAGGTGGTAACAGGGTGGATCAAGGATAACAAATCATGTTGAGGGGTGGTAACAGGGTGGGTCAAGGATAACAAATCATGTTGAGGGGTGGTAATAGGGTGGGTCAAGGATAACAAATCATGTTGAGGGGTGGTAACAGGGTGGGTCAAGGATAACAAATCATGTTGAAGGGTGGCATTTGAAATTGACAAAACAAGCGGCTTCCCACCCTAACATCTACAATTATTTTTACCTGATAAAGAAAGACCAATCCCCGACCAACATATTATTATTCCAGCTGCAATCTGGCGGTTCCCTTCGACCAAGCAAAAAAATGTATCGGGCCATAGATGACCGACTCGAAGTGTTAAAGAACAGGTTGCTCCAGCAAACTATCAGTTACATAGTATGGCGATGCTGTGTCACACCTTCTGAGTTTTCCTATGTAAAGAGTAAGATGTGAAAATAAATGTCTAAAATGTCAGAAGTAAATGTTTTAAAATGTCAGAAATAAAAAATACTTTTATCATTCACCAGTTTATACATTGAAAGCTACAGTTGGTATACTTTTTTTCTGCAAGAGACTATAACCTTAATCCCCATTGTTTAGGGAATTAGCATGGTTGGGTGATTTTAAAATTAAAACAATAGTGTTGGGCAATGTGAGAACGACCCTCTCTGATGATGGTGTCAACACGAACGGAATGATACAGCCGACAAGCTACCGAGCTTATTTGGTTTTCTTTTGACTAATGAGAAATAATTATTCTATTTAAATTCTATTTGATATTACAAAAGAATTCCAAATTATGGCATTAATAACCCAACCTGTATGCTAAATCCACACATGGCTGGGTTTAATAACTTGGAATTGTTTTCTCATATCAAATAGAATTTGAAATAA